TCACGTCCGGACTTCACTCGACCACGTTGTTTTCTACCTGCGATAGCATCTTGGCCGGATAGTAGATGCCTTCTGGGCTTGCTGTTTTAGCAGCGGTCGATCATCAGCACTGACACTGCCACCCTAACCTCCTCACTACCTTACCTGCCTCGATGTCGGCCACCACCTCCTCATCACCGCTGCAAGGCCCCAGCGGTAGTGTTAACGGGGCGAACCTTCCCCAGGGTCACTGTCGCTATATCCTTCTGGTCCCGGGCATCAAAGGTCAGCGATGTGCTTGCGCGCACTTTTCTTTGAATCGGTCAACCCCCGGTGCCAGTTGCGACTGCGGACATATGGCCTGCTACCATGTCAAGGCACCAGAGCCATCCTCGGCCAGGCACGAGGTCGCGTTGCTCAGACAGCGTTTACAGGCGCTGGAAGAACATCTTGATCATGAACGACAGGGAGGCCTCGGAAACATCGTTACTAGAGTGAGCGAGCTGGAGGAGTTGGTCGAGAAAAGCCGTGAGGAGATCGGCCAAGAGATCAAGGGATCATACCGAAATATCACTAGAGTCTGGCAGTCAGTCGATCATTTAGAACGGCAAGCTGCTCAAATGCAACAACGCATACATTCCCACACGGAGCGGCTAGGGAATGTAGACTGCGAACTGCGGAACATCAGCAATCGACAAATGGAACTGTTTGACGCCGATGACAGCATGGAAGAAAGATTGGAACAGTTGGAGTCGGACAAGGACTCATTGGCCACACGAGACGCAGGAAAGCTGCAGGTCGCGGTTGAGGCAGCGACTTGGCCTAGTGGCCCAGATTCTCGACCCCGACGCCAACCCACGCCGACCCGGACAGCTCACGGAAAGTCTGTCATTGACATGGAACTCTCCCGGTCTGAATTTCGTGCTTCCTCTTCACCTGGCGCGACTGGGTTTGCCGGTAACCCAAGTAACTGCGGCGCATGGACTGTTCACATTTCCCTGCTTCCAACCTTCTCACAGCCGTTTCCCTTTGAAAGGGATACCAATGCCTACAAGCGATGCCTCTCGCGTGGTCTGCATCGCACAGTTGTTGTGGGGGGTCCTGATAGTGACTCTTTCACGAACGCTGTCGCGAGAGCCTTCGAGGGTCTGTTGAAAGGACGGTCATGGATGCCTCTGCAGGCGAAGCTTTGCGATGCAGAACGGCTCCAGGGCCTCCCAATGTTACGACCACTGGACCCCAACATTGTCGACAGCGAATACAACGTTGACTTTCTGCGGAAGCACTGTGGCGTGTGCGAGCCCAGCGGGAAGATCGAGTCGTTATACATCGCCATGCGCAAAGATAAGCTGTCTTGGCATTTTCTGCGAAACTCGCCGAAATTCATTGACGGCCTCGAGAATTGCTGGGTGTATGACCATTACCTTGATCCCAACGACCCAGTGGAGGACGACAGCATAGACGAACACGATCGCCCGTCAGCCGGTGACATTGTGCCATGCTTGCCTTCTCTCAAAAGAGCTGCCTCTGAAATATCAAAGACGAGCAATTTGGCGGCTGTTCCGCCTGCTGGCGAAAACGATACACCGAGGACTAAAGCACCTAGGACAGCCTGTCTATCCACCTTGGCGGACTCGCATAGACGATTAGAGACGGTGTAATAGCAAGTGGCCCACTTACATTGGTGAAGATTTATTTTCAAGATCATAGACGGAGATTTGGGGATGGGATCGTTTGGCGTTTTTCTGTGAGTAGGTGACGGTGCGCAACACGGACATGAAGAAAGGGCTGGATGAGTTCATCAGGTACAAGATGACTTGCTGGTTCTGAGAGAAGTCGGAGAATTATACCCTTTTCATTGGTCTGTAGTGAATAAAGTAGATACTTGTCAGGAAATGGAAGTAGATAGAAAATGAAAGACACAAAATCTTGAGGAAAGCTGTAGAAATAGATCGCCGTAGAAGAAAGAAAATGGTAGGACAAATGCCGTGGTAGGTAGTCAGTCTCAGGCACCTTCTTCACCTTGCTGTGCCAGGCTAAGTGACCGGCTTTCGCGGCAATTACGGCGACGTCAAACGCCGGGACACTGGGCATCCCGTCACCGATTGGCTTAGGGAGGAGCGCTTGCATCAAATTGCAGGCACCGGCCCCACCAGTCAGCCGCACTACCTACGCAGTACGCAGGTAGGTAGTACGCTGAGGTGTGCTCTGTACTCAGTTCTCCACACAACTAGCTCATACCGCGGAACTTCCAACATCATTCCCAGACATTGCGCGTTTGTCGTACCCGAGAGGCAGACTTCGATGCTCAATTGCCTTCGGATCCCCTTCGTCTTTCCTCAGATTCCCTGCCATTTGTTGTGGAAAGAAGACTCCCGCTTGTTCCTGCCTCCCATTCACCGCTCCTGTCTCCACTGTCAAAACAAACACTTGCGCTCGCGTCTCTATACAACTCTCAACCTTACTTTCGCCATCTTCACACCATCTCCCACAACTACTTAACCAGCCATCATGGATTGGGATATCGATATGGACGACGTGGCCGAGGGCTTCGCGCCTCCGACTGCATCAATCGCCGACAACACGGTGGGTGACCCCAATGCCAGATACCTTGGGCTGCATTTCGCTGATCAAATTCCACCGCACAGAATACTGCACCCTCTGCCACCCAACCTGCCCACGCCGTCGGCCTCGATACGGAAAGCGCAACCTTGGTCGGGAACAAGGTCCACGTTCGCGGACTGGATAATCTGACAACGGACAACATCAAGACATACGTCAGCGATCACCATGGCCCTGTTGAAAGGATCGAATGGATCGATGACGACTGCGCAAATCTCATCTTTGGCTCCGACGCCATAGCACAAGAAGCTTTGAAGGCCCTTAGCGCCGTGGAAATCGCCGATCCGACTCAGCTTCCATTACTAGAGACGATTCCAGCCAAGAACACAGCATCGCATCCTGAGGCCAATTTACAGATCCGATTCGCAGTACTCTCCGACAAGAAGGCGCCGGGCGCAGCCCAACGCAGTCGTTTTTACCTTTTCCACCCGGAGTTCGACCCTGAGGAACGAAGACGAAGGAGCGATACAAGGAATAGATACCGCGACCGCGAGGGTGATGATCGCCGCCGCGGAGGTCGACGACATCAACGTGATCGAAGTCCAAGCGTTGAGAAATTCGACGCAGCAATGTACGATGACGACGAAGCGACACTGGCCGATCGCGAGTCCAAATCAACGCGCTCCCGGAGAAGATCAAGATCAAGGGAAGGTCCACGTGTGAGGTCGTACGCGCAACGCAACCAAGAAAAGGAGCTCTTTCCTGGTCGCGGCTCGGTGAGAGGGCAGCGTAATCGCTCGGCATCGCCCATGAGAGACAATGATGGCGATGCCTCAATGGACACTGAAGTCAGTCGTGCGGACACGGTAAGCAACAGAGAAAGAGCGTCTGGCATCCGGGGCAGACTGGCGCAAGACAACCAGTCGAAGGAGCTATTCCCCGCCAAGGGTCCTTCAATCGGCAAAACCCACATGGACCGAGTGATGGATGGCGCGGACGAGGCTACGCGGCTCATGCAAAGCAACATGTCTGTCGGCAACGGGAGGCGTGAGAAGGGCAATCTCTTCAATCGACAGCTCGGCTCCGGCACCGGCTTTGCCATCAAAGGCGCGGCCAACTCCAACGTCAAAGAGTTGTTCCCCAGCCGATTCGGCGGAAACACCGGAAAGGAGCTCTTCGCAGATAGACCAGAGGGGCGTGGGAAGAGACGACAGAAGGCCGAGGATTTGTTCTCTTAGTGTGCAGACGATTGGATCAACACGGGAGCCACGGTTTGTGGCGCAGGAGCCAGAGGTGACCGTAACGCTTTGGACAAGACGGCAAACATGCGCAGGCAACAGATACCATAGGTGCGGTAATTTGAGCAAAGCATGTTTCCCGGTGAACAATTTGGCGGTAACATGATGTGTCCAGGAGAAAACACGTGTTATTAGTACTGGGATCGCATCTCTTCCTAGATGTATATTGTGGCGGAGAGCTCCTCTTCAATCACATAGATGAAGCAGGCTCGGCTTGGCCATCGTGAGATGCCGAGACGAGGTGCAAAATGTAGCGGCACGTTGACTACGTAGGTTATGATATTTCTTCTGCACATCTGAACGAGGCGGTCCGGATGTTTAGACGAAAGTGGTCTCGGAAGTCTGGACACTAGCGGTTTCTTCCTGCAGTGAAGTTGAGCAGGCAAAAGGAGGCAGGCACAGCTGGCGACGGTACTCGCTCCTGCCATCGTGCGTCTTGGAATTGAGGATGCCTCTACTCGCTCCACCCGTCGTCGCGCTCGACGTTGAGGAAAGTGAGCCGCCTGCACAAGCATTAAAGCTTGCCTCTCAGGTCTTTATTTCCGAACCCCTTCGCTTTGCAGCGTCCATCGCGCCACGTCCTGCATCATCACCAGTCTGTTGGTTTCATTTCATTACAAAACGAGGCCAGGCCTCCGTTGAGATTTGTTCGCGGTAACTAAACCAGCTTTTGTTCGTGGGATATCACATCAAGCCTTTTACTTTCTTGTAACTGCTAAACTGCCAACAGTCAATCACTTCCCAAGTCTTCGCCATCTGCACACCTCTCGGGCTGTTCAGCAAGGACGAGCGCGGGCGACGGTCTTCCTTACAATGGCGGATTCTGAGAGATTGCGCCCTTTCCCTCGTCGCATGAGGTCTGATCTGGGGTTGAAGCGGCCTGCAGACGACGACAAGCAGACACGCCCTCTACCCATCGGCAACAGGCCGCGCCAACGAACATCCATTCCCCGCATCGCCAGTCTTGATGTTATTGTACCTGCGAACCTAGGAGTGAACAAGTGCCCTAGCATCCGGTCGGAACGACGGCCTGCATCCCCTCGTCGACTCTCACTCTCGCTAATCGAACCCGGCGACGGTGTCTTCTTTCAGGAGCGAGATCTCAACACTGGCCATGCAGCGTCTTTGGAGCAAATGATCAACACGTTGCACCATGTCATGATGACCAAGCCTGTTCTCGACCCGGTGCCAATTGAGAATAATTCTTGCATTCTGCACTTGCTTGAGGGGTACCGAGAGCTCCAAGAACAGCTGCGTGTGACCGAGAAGGCATTGGCGGAGGAGAAGGAGACCAAGGAGCGTAGCCTCGAAGAGTTCGCCAAGGTGTCATCCGAATGGGAGAAGAAAGAGACAGACTTCCGCGCCGAGATCAAGCGCATGGAGTTGGTCCTTGCCGACATTGCTCCCGACGGTGTTGGCGCGGTCGCCCTCGCGCGATCCGGCAGTATCGTGGACAGAAGCAGCAGGTCATCCCGGCTCTTCAAAGCCAGGGTAGAGAAGGCCAAGAGTCCTACAAAAGGTGAGGAGAGCTCTATCGCAGTTTGTCCTAGCTGTCTGAACACTGACGGATTCCGATACAAAGCGCGTGATCCTGACGACACCGCCGCTCTGGAGAATACCCTTGATTCCGACGCGACGGGCAGTCCGCGTCGTACGCACACCACATATCGTAAGCTGACCCGAACGTCGCCAAGCATTAGATGCACTTGCTAACGTATGCAGTGTCGATGCGCCCAAACCTGGACAGTAACGCGGATGCCGAGTTGAGCGAAAAGATGAGGAAAGCCCAGTTGAGGCGGTTTTGGGACACCAAGTACGATCCACGAAAGACGCCCGGCAGAGCCGACTTGACATCATGCCACACCTCGAATAAGCCCATAAATCACCATAATCGATGTCACTCCACTGCCAAGTCGCTTCCCAAAGAAGAAACTACTATGCAAAACAACATCGCGGATGACCCGGATTCAACTAGCGAAGTGACGGTCCTGCATATGAACGAGGATGTGCCGGCCGGTCCCAACGATCGAGCTGTTAACGGGAGACTTGAAACCATACCCACTAAGGCGACAGTGAACGGTCTATTGGGCGAAAACCCGGATGCCTCGACGCAGACTGGCGGTGGCCTGCGATGTAAACGCGAAGTCAGCCGCCACAAGAGAGAATTTTCATTCGATCCAGGAGAGGACGGCATTCTCCTATTGCCCTTGGCAAACCAAAACCCCCATGGAACCATCGAACAGTCATAGAACATGCGCAGACGGGAGCGAGGCGGCATATATCAACCGATAGGTGCAAAAGCCAGTCCTTTGAGTTCAAGTGCTGCAGACAGCTGATGGTTAGAGAAATAGGTCACAGCCCAACGTCAGTACACCTGGTGTCATCTTATCACATATCGAAGCCTCACCCAATGCTGCAGGATAAAGTCCGGACTGCGACCAGGCGGATATCCATGGAAGTCGTCGCAGTTCTCAAGATAGCGGCCCAGTCCGTACGATATCGTTTTACGACGCATCCATTCGCCCAGCGCAGACGGAAAAGGGGTAAGAGCAGTGGATAAAACGAAATGTGAACGAAGTTCGTTGTATTAAGCACGAGTTGGGCTTTTTTGCTTGCTGCGTTGGGCAAAGGAATGACATGCGTTGCGAAATAACAAGCAACGTTGAGCCGTCTAGTCGCGTTTTCACTTCCCAAATATATTACTCCATCTCCCTGCATTGTGTTCACTAACTTGGATCTTGTGTGTTGTTGAAGTCTACGTTGGCATAACGTGCTCCATATCCGAGCGAATACATAAGCCCCGAATACTTGAGCCCCATTTGCAAACTCTTTCTTGCCATACGTACCCCGATAGCTCCCGTCCATGACTGTAAACATTGCCACGTGAAGACCCCATTTAGGTTCACGATTGTCTCCGAGGGTCCTGTCCCCTGCCCGGCGGCTATCATAGTGATGAGCGGGACTTAGGGCGATGCTTGCACAGGTTGTAGGCTGCATCCCCATAAGACCAAGGTGGTTCAGGGGTAAGGACATTGCTGCGTCTTGACTGGGTGCATTCCGTCGCCGGTGAATCTCGCGGCAGCGACACATGGTCTGTCGAATTGAAAGCAGTCTGCGAAGCAGGGACGAACACGGATGTGCCAGTCGGGGAAGCCATAGTGAAAGGCGCGAAACCACGAGCAAATCAAACAGCTACGAATACTTACACCTAGCAGCCGGCGCTTTACTCTGCTCGGTTTGTGTGTGAAACGAATCAAGGTGCATTTTGGTCGGCAGCAACTAGTAAACACCCCCAGGGACCAAAAAGCCGAAGGGAGACGAGTAGAGGAGGTGAGGCGTTTCTCACCCAGATCGCCGGGTAGCAATACTTTTGGAGGAGGAGCGTCAACTGCGCCTCCTTATTTTCCCCTTCCCCATCCATAACTGGAAGTGCTTGAGTATATCGTCACCTGTACGGCGACCGCCTCACTCAGCGTCCGCCGTTGCAACTGGAATTCGGTATGTAACCCGCCCCAACCAGAGTACCACAATGGCGACTCCCACGGACGGTTTCGTAACTCTCTTTGTCTCGTCAGTCGGCAGAACTGTTGGAACTCAGGTTGGCCTGCTAGCCGTTGAAAAAATTGCAACCACAGAAACAGTGGAGGGTTTTCCCAACGCCAACCGTTTGACGGAATTAGGTCCAGGTCAGATTAATACTTATTTCGGAAGAACTATTAGCTCAGTATCGCACGACTTCTTGGTCACTCACATACGCCTCACCAGAAAGCCCTCCACTTACTCCTCGATACTCCTACCGTGGGTACGGCAATACCGAGTCTCAGGACGATTAGACTTCAAATCGGCAGTCGGTGGCTGTTTTCCACTTCCGGTATTGCGCAAAAGATTGACTTGCAGCATCCGCAAACAAGACTTCCCCAACGATGTGAGTGCATCGGCAGTGGTTCTGCGGATGAAGTATAACGGCTCGCCCCAAGACACTAGGTGGCGACAGAGGTTGAAGTCATGCTTTCACCATTTGAGTGACACGCATCCAAGAGCAACACAATCGAAGAATCACGAGGAATATGTATATGAGTAATGAGCCTCGGCCACTGAAGACGAGTTGATTTTGGGCGTTTCTTTACAAGTGTTTGCCGAGCATACAATTGAGATACGAAGAACTCTACAGTTCCGTTTGCGAAAGCCTTCCGGTCTTGCGTGTCGGCTAGTCATTAACATAAGTCTAATTGCATGTGGTTCATCGCACAAAAGCCTCGAGGGATTCTGATGGGGCCACAGGTACCTGTGCCGCGGCGGCGGGCTCGCGCGACCCGCGCCTGTCTCTATGTATGTCTTGCAAAAAGCCTGTGAGGGCAGGTCTGTGGGCAAGAGGGTAAGAGGACAGGGTGCTGAGACGATGAAAAGAAAAGAGGGCAGAAAGATTGAAGGATCAATGACAAATATGAAGGTCGACACCCCAAGACCAACAGCCACCACAGCGTAACATAAACGAAGATGGATCACACACACCAAGATACATGAGGTAAGAAGCGCCCATCACCCTGATCCTTGGGCCGTCAACGATGCAGGCAAGCTTCCTCAGTGCACACGTGCACACAAGTTCGGCGATGACATTACAGACTGGCTGGCTGAGGCGACTGTGGTGTGTAATGTTGTATTCCCAACGGGGGAATATGGTTTCGTCGTCCCGTGTTGGAGGCTTATGTGTGTCCGTGGTGTCCCACTGCAGGCGGGCGTCGTTGATTCCTTGAATCGACTGCATGATTGATACGCACTACCAGCGCACACATTGAACCAACACTTACATATACGGCACGATATGGTGCCATCGTGTGATTTTACGGTGCTTGCGTTGCAGCTCGGTACACCCTCCTTAGCCCCTCCCCCCCCCTCCGTGAACAACCAGCCCGGGATAGTGGCAGAGACAGAGAGAGAAAGATAGAGCTGTATCCTTGGGTACGAGGCGCCTTTATTGATGTTGCTGCTGCTTACCATCCCAGCGGTTGCGGGGGGGATGCACATGGTTGAGCGAAGATTGAGACGGCTGTCTAAGTCGAAGTCACGCAGACCACCAGTTTGGCAGATCCCCTGACTAGGGTATCCGTACTGGGCTTCGCCGCATCTTCGGGTATGTGCCTTTTTTCCTGCGTGTCTTATCTTGTTCGGACGGGTTTGATCCAACACTGAAGAGAACAAGGGGGGTGATTTGTCATGCTGGGGGGGGGGGGGAGGGGGGGGCTACTCTCTCCCAAGACAGTTTCGCTCTAACCACCGGTTTTTTTTCCCATGTCTGTTATGGCGTCTGGGGGAACTTATCCGTGAGGGACCTACCGATGTGTGGCGTGCCGTTGACGGCTTCCTAGTGCTCTGATTGGCCGGAGTGGAATATGCGAAGGTTCCAAGCCACGGAGACTCCTCGAAGGACAGGCCACGCGACTTACCCAATTGCTCTTCACAGGTCAACCAACCATTAATAGCATTGAGTTGATTAGCCAGCCAGCCAGCGAAGAAGATTGTAGGTCCCATAAAAGACTTGGGGGTTGGGGGCAAGGAAGACGCTGGGAAGTGAGGCTGATGATGCGAGGCGTCATTGACGCCATGTCAATGATGACGACTCTGCATCGCGGGTAGCCTGTGTTAAAGGAGGCAAAGAAGTGTAGAGGGTCGTGGGCGGTAGAGAAATGCAATGAATGGCTGCCGTTTTTTTTTTTTGGCCCCCCTACCCTCCAGAAAAGAAAACAATATGGTTGGCGTCGCTCACCACACCGGGATCGAAATCGGGCTGAACCACAGCCGCGGATGTGAGTACTGATATCCGTGGCCAAGGTTCAGGGCTACCCAAGAGTGGCAGAGGATCGTTTGCGGTTTGTTCTCCCCTGGTTTGTGCGACCCAAGGCATGGGGGAGCTGAGGGAGGGGGACACGGGGGATGCTGCGAGTGACTCAACTTGCTCTGTGAACCGCGCAAGGCTCATCTCTTTGGCTGGGTTTCGTGCCGCGTCAAGCAACAGAGAGCATCAAGTATCCAGAAGTCGTCAACGATGACAGGGCAAAGCCTCTGTAGTAGCCCCTGCGGTGAACCCATCGGGTTCTAGCGACAAGGGGGTTATGTTGTGAATGGGTGCAGTTGCAGTTCAGATTGCACCGGGGAAGCTGGGATCAACCGCAGTGCTATGTATGCTGTGGGTGTGAGTACCTGTTGGGTTCTCTTACCGTGGATTGGGAGCCAAAACGTTTGTCTTTCACGACGTCTGCCTGTCTGTGTTGCCTCAACTCAGCTGCACCTCTCACCATCAGTAATCATCAATGCTAAGGGAGGGGAAACCCAGGGGTGGAAAAAGAAATAACGTTGGTCAAGGGTGGGTAGTTGGGCGTGGGCGTGGGCATTAGTGTGAGCGAGTGTGGGTGAGAAAACAGTAGTAGTATCTGTATCTGTACTTCATTCGGATACGCAGCATGATGATGGGCACCTAGGTACCTTACGATACACTCTGTGCGGATCCCCTGGAGCGCTCTTCCCTCCCCTCCCTGCTGCACCTTGGCGGGTGCGGGTGCGGATGCGGGAACAGTGACTGAATGGATGCAATGTGGAAGCCCCACTACCCCACTGCCCCCAATCCCCAAGCTCCCATGTCGTCTGTTCGCACAGCTGCCCAATCTTGGTAAGGTGAAATAAAGAACGGATATGACGTACGGATATAACGATCCAAGGCGATGAAGTTGCAGATGCATACAGATTGATAAACCTGGGCGGGAACTCGTGAGCTCAGCAGAAGCTGCAGCAGCAGCAATAACGACGGCGACAACAACAGCAACATCAACAACAATAACAACAACAGTCACAACAACGGCAGCGTAGTGGTCGGCCATCTCTCAATTCCCGCTGCAGCAATGGTGTAAGTCGACGAGACAGTATGCAGCAGGATCCTCCCACGACATATACGATGATGCCTCGCTCCAACAACACAACACACAAAGTGAAGGCATGTCTGTCTTCCTTACCTTACGTCCGGTATTCGTACCGTTGGGCTCCGTATGACTGTCTTGGTGGTGCCCACTCATCCTGACCCAGGCTTATTGGTCTCTTGAAGGTGACTCCCCAATTGCAAATACCTTACCCGCCTGGCCCTGGTCTAGCTCCATGTCTCAGACAGAGTCCAGGGGCAAGAGACAGCAGGCACCCGTATAACGGCTGAAGGGCTGAGTGGCTGGCCAGTTGGTTGGCACGTTGTAATCTCGATATGATGCTGCATTTACGGGTGATGAATGGTGGTGATGGAGAAAGACCCACGGAACGTCCCCGTAGACCGCATGCACTCTGCTTACGGCTTGGTAAATTGCGAGAACATGGGTAGCCTGACCAGCCCCTGCTGGTGAGGCTTCCCGCTGAGAGACCTGGGCGAGTCTGGCCCGGCCCTTGCCCCTGCCACTGCCCCCTAAGTAGGTACCTGAGGAACGAATAGGTACGGCGAAAGTAGGTAGGTACCTTACCTTGGGTACCTGGGTGCCTAGGTAGTGTCATATAGGCGACCCACCTCCCCCTGTCGCCGCTCATCGAGCTCCGGTGCCATCTGCCTCTGAATCTGCTTCCACCTGTTCGGTTCTCATGCTGCCGCTGCTGCTGCTGCTGCTGCTGGCCGACCGTTGATCGACAGATGCCCATTGGCCCCGGGCCCCGGTGGTGGATGGGGCGAACCTGTCCCACATCACATGCATTGTCGATTCCAACTCGTCGATTCGCAACTGTGAACCTGCAGCCCGCCCAAATAAAAATGGGATCTGAGATCCGTCTCCACCTACCCCTTGTCCACGTCCTCACCCGTCTCCTCTCCCATCATCCTGGCTTCAGTGTTCCTACGCGCCGGTGCCCTTTTCCCCATCGACCACCCACCCACCAAATCCCATCCGACCTGCCCAAGAACGATCGTCAAATCTAGCAAAATCCCGTACTTTCCAGCGTTGCATCGGGCCACAGGCAGCTTCAGATCCATCCGGGAACCCCCCAGCTGTGCCGACACAGGCGGTAGTCGAGCAAGTAGTGTACGGATATTTGATGTGGAATCACCATGCCAAGAACCCTCGCATGTGAGTGAGGTGAGGAAAGGCATCGCAATTTTGGTTCTTTCCCTCTCTCTCGCGCGCGTATGCTACGCCCGTATGCTATCGGGTACCATGTCATGAAGTGTTTGGGTCTCGCACATCGGCTCTGCATGTATGGAGACCGTTCGCTTCTGTGACTGTTTCTTTATTCTCCTCTGGGTATGTGATGAAAAACACGGCCGCGAAAAGGTAGCGAATAGCAAGCAGTAATGATGCAAGAGATGATGATGCTGCTGAGGCCAGTGACGGCAATGACGAACCGCCGGCCATCACGTCGATGATTTTGGTATAGGGGGGGGGCGGGGAACAGCGGTGCAGTGAGCGAGCGTAGGTGAAATTGGGGGCAGATCTTCGATGGGCCGTTGTCTTGGACGAATGCACCGGTGGACAGTGACGATGCAGGCGTCCCTCAGTCCCTCAGTCCCTCAGTCCCTCCGTCTGTCTGCCTGTCCCTGTCCAGTTTGTCTGCGGACGCGGGCGGGCGCGGTCGCACCATACGTAGCGGCCACCAACTGGACTGCTCCGGTCGGCGCAGCGGTGCCGTCGTCGGTGGTGGTGGTAGCAGTGGTGGGTGGTGGTCGCCAGTCGAGGTTGGATGGCGAGCGCGAACGGTCAACCGACCTTTGGATCTACCTAGTTTGGTATGGTTTGGTTTGGGTTGGTTTGGTTTGGCTGGCACACTGGGTGACTGACGCTTTGGTTGGTGTCAAATTGGAATGGACAGGCCAGGACCCAGCCGCGCCGGTGCCAGGTGCACCGTGGGCCTTCGAAACGGTCGAGGGTAGGTAGGTAGGCAAGGTAAGGTAGGTATTAGTAGGTAGCTCTGGTGGTGTAGCGGTGTCGGTGCTTCGGACGACAATCCATTCAATGCCGTCAAGGGTGCAAGGCATCGAAAGAAAAGCAGGGCTTCCCCGGCCGGGCCTTGGTTTTCTTGTCAAAAGGGAAGGGAGGGTTGCACTCGCAGATCCTGCTCGGTCCCGTCAGCGCGGCCGCGCTGCCAATTCGTGGCCAACTCGCTGCCATCCGCCTTTCCTTCAGGGATTGTCTACGGGATGCGAACATCCCGAGGGTGGGAGACCAGGGGCTTGTGAAGATCACCGTCTTCTTTTGCACGACGAAAGATGAGCTGCCCCATGCCATGCAATTGACTCTGGACAATTGTCATACCGCCGTCCCTACCAACCACTTTCTTTGCCGTGTGCTCGCTCGTTTGAAGAATTGTCAACAGACGGCCGTGATCGAACCCTGTATCAGATGAAGTACCATAGTAGACGGTGGACACGCATGCTTCGTATATGCCTCGGGAACGTTAACTACGCACTCTGTTCATTCTACCGCCCTACACCACACTACACCACATCACACCACACCAGGCCTGAACTCTGCCTTATCGTGCAAGCACACAAGTTTGCCTCTACAGCTAGTCCGATCTTCTGTCGCCGTCAGACTCCCTTCCTACTGGCTTCGAAATCCGGCAACTGAGTCCGTCCTGTCTAAGCCAAATCTCATCGCAAACTTTGAAATTTCGCCCATGGGCAATTGCTCGTCATGATCGACATCAGCCCGCCCGCCCCTTAACCCCATCTACCTCGTGTTGAATGCGACTTTCTGTCCTGACGGCTGGCTTGGCCTGGCTGACGCTCTGTCCTCCGCCTCACCTTGTCCTGGGCTTGTCTACGCAGTAGTCCGCCAACCGAGGGCTCCAAAATTTGGGCCCAGGGTCCAACAGAGCCCGGGGAACCCCTTCGACTTGTGTTGGAAACAGAGGGCGTTGAACAGAGACAAGACCCTTGTCTATGCCCTTGTTGCAAGCCCACACACTGGTCCTGTCGATCGCCGCTGACGTGTCCGTGGGCATGAATTTCAGACATTCGCTGAGCCTTCTCTGCCCCCGTTCGACGATGGCCCATGCCCGGCAACTCCTACTCGAGCCCCAAAGTTGCTCAAGTTCCGCTGACACATGCGTTGGAAACACCAAACATGTCACTTTCGAGCTGTACAGCATGCTCTCAACTTCGCAGCATATAAAAGTGCATAACCCGAGAGGGTAATGTTCATGTGCTGAGCAATAATTTTTTGCATTACGGGGCCGCGTCTTGCGGTGCGCGTGAAGGTAATCAACACACGCTGTTATCCTTTTCCCCGGTACATCTTGTGGACCTCATCAGACCCATGCCGAACCATCATATTCTGGTCTCCGAACGCCTTTCCCTCGCTTGAGTTGGTACAGTTCAAATAGAAATAGAAAGACAAAAACAAGGCAGCTTGCCTTTTCCAGCACTCGCCATCAAAGAATCGATCCTTTGTCTAATTGCGCCTTCAAGCCCGTAGATTCTTGGTACAGTTTCGGCCACAACCCAAGTTCAGATTAAATTCAACTTTCCACGTGCTGTTTTGCATTGCACGGCGCGCCAAGTCATCCAAGAAGGGCTGAAACGTCCATCCGGGAGTCCTTATCGGCTGGTATAGGTGAAGCGACAGTGCTCGATACCGGCGAGTTTGGCGCCGTCAAAAGATGCGATCCCATTGACGGTAGTCGACCGTGCTCTTTCCTTTCGCTCGGTGCATGGAGCAGAGAACCGAAACTAGGTAATGATCGAGGCTGGGAGCCAGTGTCTAGATGACGAAGAGGAGGGAGTTGAAGAGATGGCGATGTGCCTCTGGAAAGGCATTGGGGAGATGTGGTGTAGCTTGACGCGGCATCGGAGACAGTCGAGGCCTCGCCGTCCAGTGCGTCGCTGCCAGGAGACGAGGTTGAACAGGGTGACGGCAGAGGCGATTCCAAATGATAGAGAGTGTGGTTGTGGCTGTGACCATAGAACGTCGGAGATACAGGCGACGACACGGCGTGCCTTGGAAGTGGGAGTGCTGACGGGTGAGGGTTGAGGGTGAGAGTCGGGCGTGTGAAGGCGGAGTGGCCATATCTTCTGTCGTCGTAGCCAGAAGTGCTCTGGTTGGCTCTGCGGCGATCGTGACGCTTGCGGCGATTCTGGCTTCCGTTCCACCAGTTCTTGACTGCATTATCGCTGCGACCATGCAGACGTCTTGCAATCTCGGCCCACCTCTTGCCAATCTCGCCGACGAGAATCTCTATTTGGGCGCCCTCCTCGGCTGTGATGGGCTCATGATTAAGTGTGGGCTTCAAGTTCTGGTGAAAGCGCTCTCTGCATTGCTTGGGCGTGCGGGTTCCGAGGGCTTGGGCAATGCGAACCCAGTTCAAGGGGCCTTGGTCGCTGACAAGCTGCATGAGATAACCGTCTTCTTGCTGGGACCACGGTCCTCTTCTTTGCGCCATTGTGGAAGTGTGGTGTGGATCGACTAAGATTATGATGGGAGGTTTGTGGTGGTAGACACCGAAGCCCAGAGTAACTGTGTGGCAGCTGGGCGATGAGGTCGAGATGTGTACAAGCTGGGAGCAAGGAGAAAGGGCTGGCTATGGTCTTGTTGTTGTTGTTGTTGTTGTCGTTGATGAAGACGATACAAGAGAGGGAGAATGAAGAGGCTATTTGGGGTCTTGGAAAGGTGTGGGTTGTGTGCGTATATATGTGCTTGAGCAGATGGAAGCGGCGTGGGAGAGAGACAACGGAGTATGAGAGGCTGTGCCGAAGAACGAGATCTATGCAAATCCAACAATAAGATTGGAGGACATGGGGATAACAGGCGAAAAAGAAAGGTTAAGGTTTGAAATGAACCTGGTTTAAGGGTGGAAGAAGAACGAAGAAATGGTGATGGCGAGTGGAGCGTTCTTGTAAACCCACGGCGAGCCCAGAAGTGAGGTAAGGAACTGCACCACATTACCTGGGATGGAGTGAGGCACCCTACCCAAAAGCAGAGGTCCAGCTGCTGCGGTATCAGCACCTAGCACGACCCGATAGAGCAGGGCAAGGACAGAGAAGACAGACGCCTTTCCTTATGGGGGAGGGGGTGAGACTGGATCGTTGCTGCCGCATGTACCATCCCCCCAGAAGATGGTGTAGGCCTACTTGACTGTGCTTCGTGGGTGAGGATCAGAGTTGGGGCGTGGGAGATCACTACGGGAGGCGTGGCACATGGAGGTGGGGTGTCGCAATAGCATCGTCCAGAGGCAAGGCACCTGGTAAAGGTATTACAAAAAAAATCCAGCTCAACTGTATCCGTCGTTTCTTTGCACAGAAGGCCGACATGGGGGAATCCTAAGATGAGAGAACCCCAGAGGCCCAGGTTCATTCTGGTCTAGGCCCATTGACTGACTGTTGGCCCCGCGGGGGTTTCTAGCACATCCACAACCACCTCATTACCCGTCCGTTCCAAAAGTAGGTACAGACAGAAACCTCTTCAGAACGAGGCTGAGCGAATGTCGACTCCAGTCACTTACAGCAGCCGACGATCTCTGTCGATGTGCGTTGGAGTCGGGCGGTCAGGCAAGAAGGCTTGAGATGGCTTCAGGGCGCTTGATGCACTGCGAACCCAGGGTATGTAGGTCGAGAGCCTAAGACCAAAGCAAACAATGCCTTCCACCGTACCGTCGTGCCCAGGTAAGAAGCATGTATCCTAGGCCATGGGACAGATTCCGAGTCTCGATTGACAGACTGACTTACGGCTATTTCCTTCGAGACACACCCCTGGCCCTTGTTCACTTCCATATCCACAGCCCACCAGACCCTGTCCTTGTTCCCCGGCTCTAGTCCCGGTCCCGATTCTGATCATGATCCTTGTTCATGCTTTTGAACTGGTATCCGTCCTGGGCCTGTCCCTGCCCCTTGTAGAGGCCCCGGCTTCAGCCACAGCCCAAGCCAAGCCCACGCCATACACCCGGTGGGACATAAATCTCTGATCTGATGCCAGGATGATGCCAGGATATCGCAAGCTCTTGAAATCGGGCGTTGCTGGACTGACGGATGAGGCTAGATAGCTTGTCGAGGAGACGGTCTCGATCGAGCGAGGACTACCTACCTCAGGTATTAGGACCAACGACTGTGGCCTTACTATACCGGACAAGGCCACAGAGAGAGACGAAAGCACTGCAGCGCCGTGTTGGGAAGTGCAAATCCTTCAACCTGACGAAATCAGCCAAGCGCATTCGGGCTGCTTGACGTTTCGATACCTTCCGTGCCATGTCCTGCAATGCCTCCGACGAACAACTGCGGCTCTCTCATGTCCAGTGTGATGCACTGATGTACGGTCTCATTGCCCCGGCCGGGGAAATAAACGTCAACGCAACTTCATCGATATGCACGGGTAAGCTTGATTGAAGCATCCATGTCTGGGATTTCCCAAACGTATCTTTTTGAGGGACCTGGGGTTCAAGACCCTCGAGTCCGTTCATTGGATTTGACTGAAATCTGACGTCCCGAGGCTTGGAGTTGAAAGTCAGATGCACGGAATAGAGCCGAAGCCATTTATTTCATTTCAGTTGGGCGATCCCCAAAGGCACGGACTTGGCATCAATGCACCGCTCCACGGGCGTAGACAGCAACACGCACTGGCACGCATACTCTGCGTATCCGTCGAGAGCGGGCCGGCATACGGTATACCCTGCCTTGCCTTGCCTTACCTCACCTCACCTCGCCTTACGTTAGGTATGGGGATGCAGCGTGCCGTGCGCCGTGCATGGCTTCGACACGATGCGATGCGGATGCGAAGTACCATGCAAAGAGAGAAGCGTTGAATTTCTCGTTTCTCGTTGCTCAATCACCACGCGAGACAGTTGTTTCTTTCCGTCTTCGGACCCTGCTCTTTCCTCGAGGAACGAAGAGTGCAATCTCAGTCGGGTCTCGTCATGCTGGAAACGGCGGCTGTCAAGCACGCTGCGCACGCTGGCCGAAATATCGAGTCCGGCCAAATGACGGATGCAGTATTGGCAGGCAGGCCGAGAGAGACAGATGCTCCGGAGCTGGCAGCTAAAGCTAGAGCCTGAGTGTGAGCTGAACGGCAGTTTGGGACCGAAATGATAGTGAGTATGATGCATCCTTCAGCACTCTTTTTCGCTCGGAGCGGCCGTCTTCAGCCGGGGTCGAAGGAGGGTGGACCAAGACCGCCTGGTGGGGAGAGCAGACCGGCGATCATGCCGGGGGGCGTGGTACAAGGCGACGGGAAGTAACACAAGCAGCGAGCGCAGCTCTCAGCATGTGTTGTGCTGTCTCTGGCAGGGTATTATGATTTGAGTCCGCAATGACATGTTGACACGTCGTCAGAGGAGGTAATGCTGCTTGAGCAGTTGTCAATCCAGCGGGTGCCTTCCCGCCTGGTCGTCTGTCATGTTTGGAATTGTCGACGATGCCTTACGTACGGCTGCTCAAGCCGCCTTCAAGAAACACGATGGGAAGGTCAGGGTCTGGACGCCGTTTCTGGTGGGGCCGATCAGCACAATCCGATCTTTGTGGTTGTTTGAGTTGCCCAGGTATCCCATGCGCGTGTATGTAAGATAGGCCAGTTCAGATGTATCGAGTTGATTCCGCCACCAGCACGAGCTCTGCACAGAGCCGGGCGGGGGAAGCCCGAGGGTGAGTTCCTGTCTAGACCCAAATCACTGACAGCTGAGTGACGGCTGCCTCGTCCCCTGACAGAACGGGTGGTGGGCGGTCGGTTGGTTGCAAGTGTGGTTGTGCCTGAGACGGCAATGCTTTCTGTGCCTTTGCCTTGCCTGGCCTCGGTACGTGCGCCGTGGGTAGGTAAGGCAGGCAGGCAGGCAGGTAGGTAGGTAGCGATGATGAGGGCCTCTCTCGTGTTCCCCGGAAGCACCAAACGGGATGGCGTGGACCCTGGAGTGGGATGGCGTAGTGACATGATTACATCTTTCACTGCGCAGATCCTGCCGCAGGGTGCAAGCTCTGCTCCGAGAGTTGAGGCAGTCGTCGATTGAGCAAAGCTCTCCGAGTCTCTGTACTTGGTCGTCCCAGGTGCGTATGATACCTGGGCGGGCTCTGTTTGTTTCGCATACCGATGAACAGAGTTGTTTGTCGATCCAATTCATGATACAATTTGTGTTGGGTTACAGCCGGAAATAGCCAACCTGCTTTGACACGATACGCGGCGAAGCCCGCAAGTCGACGGCGCCCCATCGAAGAGCAGGACTTACCTTACGGATAAGGTAGGTACCTTGCGTTGCGGGTACGTAGCTGCCCGCTGGCCCCCCGGGAGTTGCCTCGGAAGCCCGCCTCGCATCGCAACCAATCATGACGAAGATTCTAAAGTTGGGCCCTCGAGTGGTTCAGTCTCATTGGTCAGACTGGGGCAGCATGGTGCAGTTCGCACTTGTCCGGGCCGGATGACACCCAGCGCACTCAACTAGACCTGTCTGTGCCTTGTCATTACCTAAGGTACCTTGGTAGGTACTTTGCGCAACAACAAGTGCAAGTGCAGTCATTCAGGTCGGGTGCGACTCGCGAGTAATGAACGCATCAGGTCCGGCAGCATTGGGGTCATTGACAAGGTGGCACACATCTTTTTCCGGACACACAGCAACATTGCCATGCTGGGGCTTCTATGTTGTTCCACTATAACAATACCCAAGTTCGACGACACTGTCATGTGTTTGGACTTGCATGCCCTCCTGCATTGCGACACTCAAAAACGGCTCAGGATGCAGTCATCCAAGAAGACAAACTCGGCGCGACGGCGTTGTGGATGCTGACTTCACGTTGGACGGTCGAAGCTAAATGGACTCGCCATGAGCCACAACGACACAAATTTCTGCTAATGGACGTAGTCGATGGCTAGGCCAGGGCCAGAGCCTGAGCCAGAGCTTTTTGTCTATGCCCTTACCGGAAAATCAATAGCTTCCACCTGAACGATGACGGATGAAAGACAAGACGCGAGGTAAGCGAGACGAAAACCGCGCAACGGGTGCTAGTCATGGCACTTCCGTTGTACTGGGCGCGTTGAGCCAATCCATCACTAAGTAAAGTATGGTGGCTCGAGGACAAGAGAGCAACAACGCACAGCCAATCGAGCTAGGTGCACATCCGCTTCCAAGTCCGCTTCCAAGCACGTATGACAGAAAATGTACAGAGTTCCGTCCGTTGGGGAAGCGGGGAAATCGTTGAACAACAGCTTTGGATGTTGCATGGTAGCTTCAAAGCTTCTTGCGTGACTAACATCTACAATGGCCTGCGCGCTCGCCAACCGTATGTTGGTGTACGGGGAGTGTAGGCCGGCAACCCAGGCACTCTGACAGCAGCAGCGAATTCCCATCAGTTCAGAGAGCGAGATGCGACGTGATGTGATTGACATTGGCACTGACACTGACACCGACGCGGCAGACGTCCGTTGTTCCACTTGGGTAAGGAAAGTCATGGCAGTAAGCCCAAGCCTCGG